GGTCTTTAGCTGAGGACTGCTTGACACACTAAATAAGTGTGAAAAGCACGACTCTAAGCACTGCTAACTCTCACTGCTTCTAACTTTCCTGGTGGTCTTGTGACAGTAAGCTCACTGTGGGGTCCCTGTCGTTCAGGGACCATCAGGCAGCACGGAGCCTGGCTCAGATGCCCGCTCAGGGCCCCAAGACGGCCGCCGTGCTTGCTGCCAGACTTCACCGCGGATGGGGAGGCCCAGGAGCCGCCAGCCCAGACATCCCTTCATCCCGGGGGAGGGGGTGGCGGGGGTACATAGAAACCCCTGGCCTGTGGCCCAGACCAGGCAGGAAATCCCAGGCATTGGGGCCTCTGAGACGTGGCCGGGGGCTGTGCCTGCCCCGTGGTTCCTGAATTCCCCCTCATCTCCAGGGCGGCCACATGTCTGCCCCTTGGGCAAGTTCTCACTCCTGCTATTTGAGCAAATGGACAATTTTTATTTCCATGTTTTCCGGGCGATCCCGGTCCAGTTCCCAGACATGTCCCCAATCTCACAATTGGCCGGGAAGGTGGCGAATACGAGCTTTTAGCTCTTTGACTCAGCAGTTCCACGTGGGAAATGACCCGCGTGCAGCCCGTGGTACTGGGAGCGATACCAGATTTGAGGAGGCCTGTGAAAAGGTCACGGCACCCTTGGTGCGATGCTCTGGAGATCCTAAGACGACAGTTCTTTAGGAAGATTTGAGACGGGGCACGCACAGAACGCTGCGGCGGACCGGGAGCACGCCTGGGGAGGGTCTGCTTCCCGTGAGCCCTGTGCCCCCGCAGCTTGGTGGGGGCCGCCTCAGGGACTCCCGAACCCCCTCTAACGCTCACCTTCTCTGTGCCAGGGCCCGGGAGGAGCCGCCGGCCCTAAGGGAGACCAGGTGAGTGGGCGCCCAGGGGTCAGGTCTGTTCTTCCATTTCTCTCCCTCCTTCATTTCCTGCTCTCCCTCGTGAACTCTGAGCTGGCTGGCGGGGGGGGGGGGGGGTGGCGCTCTGGACACCCAGCCCCACTTACAGGGACGGTGTGTTCCCGCTGACCTGGGAATGGGGCCTTGTAACGGGGGAGTCTGGGCCCCAGGCCTGTTTTTAGAGGGTACATTCTCTCGGGAAAGGCTCAGGGGTTGGGCCCGTGACCTCCGGTGGCCCCAGGCCCTCTTTGTATTGGTCGAGGACCTAGAACGATCTACAGCCCCCCAAGATTCTGCTTGGCAAGCAAGGCTCAGTGCATCCTGCCAGTCCCTGCCAGGTCCCCACCCTGGGCCTGGGGCTCCGGGGACCAGCACCTGAGCTTTGAGAACAGCTCGAGGCGGAGTCAGCTCTCTGACCTTGGGGCATGTTGTTTCAGGGCGTTGCAGGCTCCGATGGCCTCCCTGGGGACAAAGGAGAGCTGGTGAGTGGGATTAAGTCGGCCTCACTTTTATCAACAGCTGAGAATGAACGAGTCCCAGTCGGGGATGAGGGTCAGTCTGCAGATCCAGGGAGTGTGGGAAGCCCCAGGGAGGCCGAGGCTGCGGGCTGAGGGCCCCATGACTGTGGCCAAGACAGTCTCAGGGCTGCGTGTGCACGGGTTCTTTTGGCAAATTCCTGGACAACCTTGACCAGCGGGACCCCGGCCCCGGCCCTGTTAATCTGATGGGGGCGGCAGTGCCTGCCGGCTGGGGAGCCCCTCTGGCTGGGACCACGTCCCTGAGGACACAGCTGAAGGGGACTGTAGGCACAGAGATATTCAGACATCCGTTATTTATTAGAATGATGACGACGGAGACAAGGAACAAAGTAAACACGTGTAACAAAACGTGCCGAACAGTTACTGAAAACACTCTTTAGGAAAATAAGTCACAACAACATCCGTGCATAGAACAGTCCCAGCTAGAGAAAAACTGCACCCAGGAGAGTACAAGGAGGTCGCCACTCCATGTCCGGAAGCAGTCAGAGGGTGGTTTCTTGGCGGTTTCCCGCCCTCTCCAACTCCCCCTGCGCTAGCCTGGCTCTTTGGCAGCGAACGCCCACCCGACTAACGACCAAACAACTGCTCTCTCGCAGGGTCCCAGTGGTCCGGTCGGACCCAAAGGAGAGGTGAGTGGCCGCCAGCCGTCCCAACAACAAAGCCCAAGGAAATGCCAGGCCAGCCTGCGGGGTGTGGGGAGCGGCAGCTGCTGGGCACTGCTCGCCTCTGACCCACCTCGGCCCCTTTTCCTCTAGGCCGGCAGTCGAGGGGAGCTGGGCCCAAAGGGCATCCAGGGTCCCAATGGTACCAGTGGTGTCGAGGGCCTCCCGGGCCCACCCGGCCCCATGGGCTTCCCGGGGGTACAAGGCGTGCCTGGCATCACCGGGAAACCCGGAGTCCCGGTACGTCTTTCCCTTTGTTGAGGGCAGTGTTCGTCGGCACTGGTCACTCTTCTGAGACTGATGGCGGGGCAGGGGGCATCTCTAAGAGTGCCAGCCTGCCCCCAGTCTGCTGACGGACTTACGGGGTGAATTTCAGGGGCGGGAAGCCAGCGAGCAGCACATCAGGGAGCTATGTGGAGGGATGCTCAGTGGTGAGTGCTCTCCACCCCTGCACACCTCGGGCCACCCACGCCCCGGCCTCCTCCACCTCTTCCCTACCCGGGGCAGTCGGGGGGGGGGGGGGCGGTGTCCAGTCTCCATCTGCGCTGGGGGGGGCTCCCTCCCCCCCCAGGCTGTAACACAGGCGGGGGGCATGGTGGGGGTTCTAGATGTCTGTGAAACCATCAGCAGGGACCGAGACCTGCACCCTTCCAGCCTTTACCGACTAAGTGGCCATCTATCTCTTGGCTACTTTGATTCACAGGATTTGTAAGGAACTCCCCCCAAATGAGCACCTCCTCTTGGGCCTGTGACTCCCTCCTTGGCACACAGGAGAAACGTAGCAGTACTTCCATTCCATGCCCCGAAGTGCGTTAGGGGCGGCTCGATCTTTTCCCCCTTGCACAGAACGCTTTTGCTAATCCTCCTCGAATAAATGCTTGCATCTTTGTTTTCCCAAAGAACAAATTGCACAGTTAGCTGCTCACCTGAGGAAGCCTTTAGCGCCTGGATCCGCAGGTCGGCCTGGTCCAGCTGGGCCCCCAGGCCCCCCGGGACCGCCGGGCTCCATCGGCCACCCTGGTGCCCGAGGGCCCCCTGGATACCGTGGTCCCACCGGAGAGCTGGGAGACCCGGGGCCCAGAGGTGAGTCGGCTGCCCGCCGTCCCCTGCACATCATCCCCCTGGGCACCGCAAATACCATCAGAACAGCATTTGGGGGAGGAGGGGTAGACAAAAATATGAGGGATAAACAAACAGGAGCCCATTTACACGTAACGGCATATGCCTTCAGAAAAACTGACATTCGTGAACATTTCTGTTGCAAAAGGCAAAAGTTATACAGAACTCCCTTTGAAGCGCTGGGAAGTATAATTTAGAAACCAGATGACCTCACGGGTGCGCCCTGTCGCTGATGGTAGGCGCTGGCCCTGTCCAGGTCCCCGCTGAGCCGGCAGCAGCCGGATGCTCGGGCCCACAGACGGGCCACGCGGCTAACACAACTGTGAACTCCCGGCCACTGAGCTTTTCCCCAACGGCCTCTGACACCCACTTCCTGTCTGAGTTTGCTCAGTGTCCCACCCGCATCCCGCCGGCCGGCCTCCTGGCCTCAGTTCCGGATTTAAAGCTCAGGATTCCAGTCTGTGCCAATTTATGGACCAAATAATTCTGTTTCTGAAAAACAGCTTAAAAACGTTTCTGAGGGAAACTTAACTCTGTGATTTGCTCTCTTCATCGATGAGGCGCAGTTTGAATACCTCAAGTCCGGCTATTCCAGAATGAGTGGTGCCGCACTTACTTTTAAGAAACTTCAAGGCTGCACAGTTTCAGCCCTGGAGACAGACACGTCTTCCCAGACACGGTGTCGGTCCCAAGTCCATGGTCAGCCGGCTTCACGTGGCCCTGGAGATGGCTGTGGGCTCTGAGCATCTCTGGTGCTGGCACAAGGCCGTCTTCCACCAACAGACCAAGCGGGTTTCTTCACGTAGGGATCTGAAGGCCTTTGAGCCTTTTGAAAACACGGTTCTCAACTGGCCTCCATCCCCTTCCCTGGTTCTGGCGCTCGGATTACTTTTCTGAGAGCGCTTCGCTTCAGGAAAAGGCTCACCACGTGGGCACCCTGCCCGTCACAAGGCGGGTGACACACTGGCATGGGGGCTCATGCCATCACGCCAGTGGTCCCTCCTTGAACCCTAGCCGGGTGCTCATGTGTCCGGTGCTTCCCCACAGGGGCTTCGGGAGACAAAGGAGACAAAGGCTCGGCGGGCGTGGGTCTGGACGGGCCAGACGGAGACCAGGGGCTACAGGGTAGGTGCCCGTCACCAGCCGCTTTCCCAACGCGCTGTGGCTTGACCTGGGGCCGCGTTTGGGTGGTGAACATGTATCACGACGTCTTCTCTTGGCAAAGTCCTCTCAGATGGTCAGGAACGGTCAGGAACCGCCAGAATGACTTTGTACAAGTTTGAGCGAGAACAGAGTCAGGAGGATCTCTCCCCGTAGATTCAGTTAAGTTCTATTCGGTGAAAGCAGTCTAGCGTCTAGGTCAGTTCAGTCCAGCAGAATTCCCTAATTCCCTCTGAATTAGCCACATGTACCCTGAATGTTTGGTGTCCAATACAAACGCTTTGTGGAGACAGAGGACCAGCCCCTGCCCCCTGCGGTCCGTCCCTCACAGAACACACGAGTCACCTCGTGGTCTTCCACGCGCCCCCGCACCCTGGGCGGAGCGGAGGCCCTGCTCCAGTCCTCTCCGAGTGCCCAGAAACCCTCTCCTCTGCTGGCCCTCGAGGCCGCACCCACGCTCCCAGCCCCTCCTCAGCTGACCCACCCTGCCTCCCCCTGCTCAGGGGGCCCATCCCCCGAGGTGGGGGCCCCCCGGGGATCACATGCAGGCCATGCCCACAATCACCTCTGGCCCCGCTCACCAAGCAACTCCGCACCGCCCCCCCGCCCCCCCCAGCTCACAGGAGACGCTCTCTTCCCTCGGCTCTCATGAGCTCTGCTCGGGCCCAAGCCGCTACGCTCGGGACAGGCCCCTGGCCTCCATATCCCCCCACCTCGTCCTCTGCCCTCGCTCCTCTCCCCACATGGTCTCTCCTCCCCTCCGCCCTTCCAGAGTGCAGAATACGCCCCTACACAGAAGGGCTGGGGGTGGCAGGCTGAATGGATGTTCTATTCTTACATCTACACTCACCTTCCCGCTCCGTCTCAAGGGCCGCAAGGCGTGCCTGGCGTTAGCAAAGACGGCCGAGATGGGGCCCACGGCGAGCCCGGGCCTCCAGGCGATCCTGGCCTCCCTGGTGCTGTCGGTGCTCAGGGGACCCCCGGCATCTGTGACACCTCGGCCTGCCAAGGAGCCGTGATGGGAGGCATCGGGGAAAAATCAGGTTCTAGAAGCTCCTAAAACACAACCGAAGGAAGTGAGAAGGTGGTGCCGACGCCAGCAGGGAGCTCTGGAAGGACACGAGGAGTCAGCAGCGCTCCATGGGGGAGGGGACAGCGTGGCATCGGTGACGGCCCTCGCGGCCCTCTTGGCCTGCCCCTTGTGTCCTCCACGGCAGTGACCGGCCACGTGGTCCCCGAGAGCGTCCTTCATCGACCTGTTGTCCAGTGTTGTCTCTACACGCATTTACAAGTGCCCGTCAGCGGTCACGTCGTACGTCAGGCCCCGTGGGCGCCAACTAGACCCCACATCTGAGGGGGCACAAGTCCTCGGGGCCTAAAACAGCCACCTGTTCACAAAGCACTTGTGGAAGGACTAAGAATCACAGTAAGACAGCAGATGACCCCAGGTGACCCCAGTCTAATAAATAAAGGATTCCCTGTACGGTACCCCCTCCACACATGGTCTAGTCTGATTTACCTGCTTCTTTTGTGTACAAACTTGACTGTCTCCGATTAACAGTATTTATTGAAGGTGACCCTGTATTGCGAGAAAGTCTACTGCTATTACCTGTTGTGATAAATAAAGCCACTCATGTGAAAACCTCAGTTCCAAACACTACAGTTTATTACACAGAAAGTAAGGACTCTCAATATGAAAATGAGGGCATTGAAGGAATCCACTGTGACAATATCTCATTTATGGACAAAAGTGACTTCAAAGGGAGTCTCTGGAAAATGTCCAGCAAGAGGTCTGGACACGGACCGCATTTCACAATGCAGCCCCATGTGACCGAAGTCAGCACAGGGGGAGGGAGAAACAAAGGAGTAAAATTTCCAAACTACTTCTAATTAAGAACAATTTAACTTGTTCCAGTTGCTAAGTGGGCATATTTAAAATGTAAATAAAATAAAAAGCAGTGTACCTTGGAAGACTAAGGAAATTATGAAGGATGTTAATTTTTGAAGTTATCATGTTAAGAAAACATGATGGAATCAGGCAGATAATTGAAAAGTTTCTTGCTAATTGTCAACATGTCTTCATCCCCAAATGGTCTAAGAGGACACGAATGGCTAAGTATTTTGTTCTAGACAAACATCTTTACAAAACGTGCTGTAACGTCCCCACAGAGGCCCCTCAACTGGACTCACGTCCCCCAGAGCCAGACCGCCGGGGCTGCACAGACGCTCGGGGCCCCCGGGCAGCAGCCGCCACTGCTGGGAACTAGCGGTTCCTTCTGGTCACTTGACATCCATGACTGGGCTGCTCTGTAGGCCCTCCTGCGCGGGACGCGCCACCAAGGAGTCCGGTCTGGTCAGCTTGAGCCTTCTGCCAGTTTTACCGCAAAACACACTCTCAAATTCCTGAAGTTGAGAAACCACCATTAATGTTGTGAATTTACAGACTTGGAAACCATCGTAAATTTGCAGACTTGGAAACTATCTTAAAAACACAAAAGGCTGGGGACACCCGGCTGGCTCAGTCAGTGAAGGCGTGCAGCTCTTGATCTCGGGTTGTGAGTTCGAGCCCCACAATGGGCATAGAGATTACTTAAAATGAATAAATAAAATTTTAAAAAATTAAAAATACACCAAAGGTTGAAATTACGAGCTGAACTACTTCAAAATATATAAAGGTGTCATCCACGAGCTCACGTCACCTCTTTTAAGGGGGTGTATGTCATAAAAACAGGGATTCAAACATTTTTCTCAAATAGTCACATTTACATGTACTATTAATTTTCCAATAGATTCCCATAATGCCTGTCCCTTTTATAAAGCCTTCTTTATTTAAAAACAAGCAGCCATACTTACATTTTTCAATGTAGTAAAATATGCATACTACGATACCATTATCGCCATGTGTGTTTGCTAGGCTGCATTCAGCCCACGCACACTGTCCCACAGCATCGCTACCATCCATCTGCAGAACTTTCCATCACCCTGCAGACACCGTGCCCATCACATACCCCACGCACACCGGTGAGTGCTCCATGGCGGGCCTGGTGTCAGGGGGCTGGCTCTGGAAGGCTGAAAGCTGGCTCCTGCGGAGCCCTGTCCCCTGCGGCCCTTGCTCACGCTCTCCACCTCTAGGAACTCTGACAAACCCCGGTTTTCGCTCCTGAGTACACGGGGCAGCCCCAAGCTCACAAAAGGAGAAGGCAAGTGCAAGCAGACGGCCTGATCTCATCAGCCTCTGGGAAACAAAGATCGGGGGTCTGCAAAATGCACAAGGTGGAAAATCCTACGGAACAGCGGGTTCCATCTCTTCAATAAATAAAGGACAGGGAAGAAAGGAGGGGAGCCATTGTGGAGTCAAAGCTGTTTAGCTACCAACCAGTGTTCGGCTGGACAGCGTCTGGGTCCCGATTCAAGGAGTCTGCGGGACAAAGACTGCTGTGAGCCCACTGGGGGCATCTGGATGCAGTGATGCTTTTAGACCACACTTCTATTTTTAGAGATGCCCTTGTGAGTGAAACCGAGCTATCTGTGGAACACTTTGAACCATCCATCGAGGGAGGCAGGACGGGCGCCCTTGTGCCCAAGGAACACGGGAGCTCAGTATTCTGTGTTCTCCCCACGTCTGTGCATGGATGCACTTCCGTAAGTTTTTTTTTTTTTTTTATTTGAGACAGAGAGAATGAGAGACAGAGAGCATGAGAGGGAGGAGGGTCAGAGGGAGAAGCAGACTCCCTGCTGAGCAGGGAGCCCGATGCGGGACTCGATCCCGGGACTCCAGGATCACGACCTGAGCTGAAGGCAGTCGCTTAACCAACTGAGCCACCCAGGCGCCCAAGCATAGCATTCTTAATTAAATTTACGTTTATAGATTTTCTATTACGGTAAAAAATACGTAACGTGCAGTTTTCCATTTCAGCCACTTATCTGAGTGGTTTTACCCCGTGGCATTAACTAACTTCAGGATGCTGTGTGATCAGCACCGTTTCTGACTTTTCATCGTCCAACACGGACACTCTGTCCCCATGGAACATGGACTCTCGCCCTCCGCCAGCACCCACCCACCGTCCCACTTTCTGTCTCTACGAGTTGGGACGACTCCGGGGACCACACAGAGGTGGACTCATACGGTAGTTGTCCTTTTGTGACTGGCATCCTCAGGCGCACCCGTGCCGTGGCAGGTGCCGAGCGCTTCCCTTTTATGGCTAAGCCATATTCCGCTGTCTGTGCACACGCTTTGCTTATCCACTCGTCTGCTGATGGGCACGGGGGGCCTCCACGTCCTGGCTGCTCCACCTGGGTCACTGCCCACAAGTGCGACCGCAGGGTCAGGTGGCAATTCTAACTCTGAAAGCCATCACCCAATTTTCCACAGCGGCTGCACGGAGTTCTGCTCCCAGACTCGCTGTTCGTCTGTGACAGCCACACTACTGGGTGGGAAGCCGCACAGCCTGTGGATTCGCATTTCCCTGATGACCAGAGATCTGCTCATGGACCTGTTGGCCATTTATCTTCTCTGGAAAAAGGTATTCAAATCCTTTGCCCGTTTTGAACTGTGTTGTTTTCCTGTTGCTGGGCTGTGGCAGCTTGGTACCGCATCCTGTCCAGAAACGGGAGCACAAGTTCGTGCGGCGCTAGGTGCCCCCGGGGCCGCCTGGAGCGGCTGCAGCGCCTACCTGTCCACCTGCCGTTGGTAACCACCACCTGCACTCAGGAGCTATACCTGCACGTAGCTCTAATTTTCTTCCCAAACTTGAAAGAAAGGGTTTTAGGGTCTCGATGCAATTTAAGATGAGCCACATTTTGACAATTTCCTGTATCCTGATACCCAAAAGCCCAAATATAAAATATCTGCCTATATTTGAGAAGGTAGAATTTACCTTTGGGAATAATTACATAAAAGTCACAAAGAAGGAAACTGTCATTTCTGACTTAAGAAAGTACTCCAGAGACCTCCTGAGCAACGTGCGCACAACAAGGTGAGCGCGGGGCGTCTGCCTTTGCTGAGGGCAGCCGGGTGTGGTCTGGGTTCTCCCCGCCCGACCATCCTACTCTCCCCACCAGCATCTGTTGCAACGAAACCTCAGTGAAATGTCGGAGTTTCGAGGGAGTTCTACAATGAATCAGAACACCCTGGGAGGACGTCTAGCCAAAGCGGGTGTTCACGTCGATTTGTAAATATGAGAATGCCAAATATAAAAAGTGTCTTTTTTGGGGCACCTGGCTGGCTCAGTAGGAAGAGCGTGCAACTCTTGACCTTGGGATCAGGAGTTCGAGCCCCACGTTAGGTGTGGAGACGACATAAATAAAAATAAACTTAAAAAAAGAAAGTGAATTTCTTATAGGAAAGAGAGCGACGGTCCCGGTTGCACGTCAAGGAACCAGGCCAGGGAGCTGTGAAGACAATGGGCAGACAAGGCACCCGAGCAAGCGCTCAGGGCACCAGGCCGTGCCTCTTGGAGCAGGTCCGCCAGACAACAGAGGACAGGAAGAGCCTAAGTTTTTTGAAAAAGAATTTTTTTTTTTTTTAAAGATTTTATTTATTTGAGAGAGAGGGAAGGAAGGAGGGAGAGAGAGAAAGCGCGAGAGAGCGCAAGCGGGGCCAGGGGCAGAAGGAGAAGCAGACTCCCTGCTGAGCAGGGAGCCCAATGCCATGGGGGGCCCTGGGATCATGACCTGAGCCAAAGGCAGATGCCTAACGACTGAGCCACCCAGGCGCCCCTAGAGGAAGAGTCTGAATCGCCATTAATGATCTCAACCGAACAAACCCAGAATTCACCAAACGGAAAATACACATTCTTTCCAAATACAGGACTTTTAAAAACCGACCACAGAAGACGTCACAACAGAAGTCTCAGCAAACTTTCAAAAACTGTCTCTTTATACAGACCATCTTCGTTGATGACAACATAATAAAAAAAATGTGAAAAACAGACCCAAAGCTTCTAAACTCCAGATGTCAGAAAGAATAAAACTTTAAAAAAATAAAGAAGGTAAGCTTTTAAAACAACATACAAGCAAATTACAACAGAAAAAAACACCAGCACTAACTCTGCTTGCCTCCCAAACACCAATTCTGCTCGCCCCCCAAACACCACCAACTCTGCTCGCCCCCAAACACCAACTCTGCTCGCCCCCAAACACCAACTCTGCTCGCCCCACAAACACCACCACTAACTCTGCTTGGCCCCCAAACACCACCACTAACTCTGCTTGCCCCCCAAACACCACCAACTCTGCTCGCCCCCCAAACACCACTAACTCTGCTTGCCCCCCAAACACCAACTCTGCTCGCCCCCAAACACCAACTCTGCTCGCCCCGCAAACACCAACTCTGCTCGCCCCTCAAACACCACCACTAACTCTGCTTGCCCCCCCAAAAGCCACCAGAGCAGAACAAGACGAGAAGCCAGGACACCCAAGGCTGACGGAGACTCGGGCACAGACGCCCCAGCTGGGGAAGGGCGGGCCCGGCCCACGGGGAGCACCTAGCAGCAGCACTGCTGGGTCTCCGCAGGGAGGTTTTCCTCCTGCTGTGCCCACCCGAGCCATATTTATGTACGAAATGCAAAATATAATACACACAAGTTTTAACCTAACTCAATCGCTGAGTATATACAAAGACAGTTAACAGATTTTTTTTGTTGTAA